TATATATAAAATATTTAAAAATCAAAAGCATTAACAACCAAAACCAAAACTATACTAAATCTACTCAAGATCCAAAATAAAATAAAATAAACAGTCAAAATATTATGATTTTAAAAGATTTCCTTTAAATATTTTATATCTTATGTATAAAATGCCTTATACTTACCATGACTGCATTTCTTTAATAAAATACAATAAAATACAGTAATATTGTGAAATATTATTCTCATTTAAAATAACTCTTTCTTTTTTATTTGAATATGTTCAAATGTAATTTATTCCTGTGATCAAAGCTGAATTTTCAGCATCATTATTATAGAAATTCATACTTTTATTTAGCAAGGATGCTTTAAATTGATCAAAAGTGATGATAAAGACATGTATAATGTTACAAAATTGTTAGATTTATATTTCAGATAAATGCTGTTCTTATGATCTTTCTATTCATCAAGGAAATCTGAAAAAAATCTACTCAGCTGTTTCAACATAATAATAATAAGAAATGTTTCTTGAGCAGCAAATCAGAATATTAGACATTTCTGATTATTATCAATGTTGAAAACAGTTGTGCTGCTTCATATTTTGGTGGAAACCCCGACACATTTTTTTTTTTTCAAAATTCTTTGATGAGTAGAAAGTTAAAAGAAACAGCATCACAAATGTCTTGACAATATTTCACAAAGCAATGCACAACATACACCTGTTTTGCACCATGTTTTGCATGATTCAAAGCAACCACAGAGCTGAGGAGTTTTCTTCCAAAAAACACATGAGAAACTAACAAGCAAATGCCAGACAGCATAGAGCACACAGACCTGGATAATAGATTTGCCACCACAGCACTCCGGCTCACATTGTGTGCATCTGAGAGTCCCATATGATCCAGAATGATGTCAGGAACTCCATAACCCTCTTCAATTAACATGACCAGATTAAAGAGGCCCTGACGATCACACAAACAATTATTAGCACATTATTTTATATAAAAATATATATTCTAAAGAAGACATTTGATTTGATGTTTGATGCAGTTAGATTTTTGTAGGATTCCAAAATCTATAATCTACTTTGGACAGATTGTGTGTGTGTGTGTGTGTGTGTGTGTACCTGAGCACTGCCATACACTGCTGCTGTACTGTACATGTCTATGGCCTTCACCATATCAGCCAGTTCACTGTAATAATCTCCCATCCGCAACAAGCCTGCAGAATGCAGAGAAACAGAAGCAGATACAAGCAGAAAGAGAGAGAGAGAGAGGTGGACCAAGAAAACTATTATGAGAAAGAGAAGTAGTAGTGTCATAGTGTCATTTCTGCTGGTCTGCAGAGGCTCACCAGCTTCCTGAGGGATGTGGTTGTAGGTGGAGTAGTTGTGGTACCTCCACTGACACGCAGAACTGTGATCTAACAGCTGGAAATACACATGAAATAATAGGATTAGAAAAAAACAACAGCCAGGAAATGAAAGGCTTGAGATGGTTGGACTGGCAGATTTTGAGACGGTTCACCTCACACAGATGGGCGGCGTTGTGCTGTGCCAAACCGAGACCAGTTTCTGCCAGCATGGCATATTTCACCAACGCTTCACCCCTTGAATAGACAGTCACACAAACATTAAGAAATATGTCATTTCAAAACAGTATGATTTTTTTCTTCTTTGTAACACAAAGGAAGTTGGATGGATGGATGGATGCTGGATGGATGTACTGTATGCAGGGATGGATGCTGGATGGATGTACTGTAGCGTCTGCGTAGAATCATGCATGGTCTTTGGGGTTTATGGCTTAAGAGGCCCCTTTTTAGCCTTTGACATTTGCATATAAATTACAGTCCTGGTCACAGACTTTACATTTATATGGGGGCTAAATTGCCAAATGGTTCCTCGCTATCAAGGAGATGCTAAGCAGTCCCCCACTATCATCTCCCCATCTGATTTCACTGTACGCAGGGATGGATAGATGGATGATGGATGGATGGGTGATGTACTGTATGCAGGGATGAATGGATGGATAGATGAAGGGTTGGATGGATGGATGCTGGATGGATGGATGTACTGTACACAGGGATGGATGGATGCAGGATGGATGTACTGTACGCAGGGATGGATGCTGGATGGATGGATGGATGGATGTACTGTACACAGGGATGGATGGATGCTGGATGGATGTACTGTACGCAGGGATGGATGCTGGATGGATGGATGGATCGATGTACTG